TCCGAAGTCTGATTTCTTTTTAATTATAGCAAATGCGTTTTTCTAAAGTAGATAAACTTTTGGGATTAACTGTATACTCCTATACATCCTTAAACTTCTATCAGAGATCTTACATGTTTAAACTAAATGTGCATCGTTTGTTTTATTTTGCATAAAAATCCTATTTACTCTGGAATGTACGCGTAGGCTAATGGTTGCTCGTCGCGTGAGAAATTAAATTTTGAGGAGCAGCGCCGATGGACGTATTCGATAATAAAGGCTGCAGGGACGTAGCCGGAAAGCGGCTGCATAATTTGGCGACTGGCCAAAGGCGACCAGTTGCTTCCAGTGCGTTGCACGTTTGACCTGTCTACGGCCTGGTACACATTGGCTAACTTATTCTGGCCAAATTTTCAATCGAACGATTCTACTTCCTTGCGCCCGTACTTTTGGAACCGTCGTCGTTGTCGCGTCGACCAAATCGATAAAGGAGATTTTGATATAGGTGGATTTTAATATCAGACATATTCCTTCGAGCCATCCGTTTCCTAGATTTGGCAATGGGAACACGACTCATATTGACTCTGACAAAGAATTTCAACGAAAATGATATACTCCAGAGAAATTAAGTCTAATTAATTCCGATCCATCGAAGGGAATAACAGATTTTTTAGTATAAAAAATGATTCCAACTTTCATTGTAAGTTTCAGTGTAAGACTGTGCGGTATTTAATATCTCTACTTCGATATTCTGTTGAGATTATGTAAGAACAAGGCTGCGTGCGACTCGTTTGATCAACGTCTTAGCACGAGCCGTTCAGTAGCCGATCCCATTCTCCCATGGGTGCGGTTCGACGGGCACCCAAGCGGGGAACCGAAATAGACAAGAGGGTTTAAGCTTCGTTCGAGGTAAACGGCCGATTGTCTGGCAGCGATGCTTCCGGAAATCTTGGCAACAACCATTTAGCCTCCCGCAATAACTCCGTTAAATCTAGCATCCAGTGGCGCCGAAAACGATCCGACCGTTTCACCCCCATGTTGGATCAATAAACTCCGGACTCCGTGTCTCGCCTCGGCGAAAATTAGATCGTCACTAGATTAATGAAAATTCGTAACCACGTCATTATTAACGAGCATTTACTTGCATAAACAATGAGTCAATAAAAATTGGAGAAATGACTATTCTCGGATTTCGGTAGAATTCATTTTTTTATCGAATTTATGCATTCTTGCCTTTCAACAAATTGCAATTCATTTTGAGAGATTGTCTTTTAATTTGTGTAACGATGAGATGCATGCAATTGTGACAGGGAAACAATAACATCTAACGATGATACGACGTGATTACGTGTCTTAAGAATTCGGTTCGTCATTTTTCAATTCGATTCGAATTCGATAATAGTGGGATGATAAAGCAGATGGGATTTAGGACTCGCGGAGGTACCGTGGCGTTCACAGAGAACCGGAAACGAGATCGCGAGGAAGGATGGCCGGAGGTTTTGAAATTCGCGACCCGGGTTCGTCTGCCATTGCCCCCGTTTCGCGCCTTCTATTATTCAAGATTATAATGATCCGCCATTCTTCCGGCGGATTTCAATCTGAACCAAAGCCAACGACACCCTATTCTTCGTGGAAAATTCATTATTTCCAAAAGGCCAATCCCATTGCATTGTTAAGGAACCGAGGAGGATTCTTAATTCAAGAACGTTGACAAGTTCAGGGTTACGCCTTTTCATAGTAGAAACAATCTGGCATTTCCTTTTTTAATATAAGCAGCAGAGGAATTGATTGTTAGGCCACGGATTCTTATGCAAAACAAATCATTTATGATATCAGTTTGAGGAGTGCATTTTATGCACAGTCTGCAGTCAGAATTTTCAGCTTGTGAACTTTCGCTCGTGGAAGTCAACGAGCACCTTACCCTGATCGTGTCACGAAGTATGGCGATCTCTCGTGTCAGGTGCTCGTTCTCGTTGTACAGAACTTCCATTTGTTGCTGAACCTCCACGCTCGGCCCTCGCATCCGCATCCTCAGCTCCTCCTCCAGTTGCCGGACCATCATGCTTTGTTTCTGCAACACGAAAGTACGACCAATTATAGAAAAAAAAATTGAAATAAAATCATATTCTCATCGATTTCCTCGACGTATTGAGTCAAAGTATTCCCTGGTTTCCATTTTACGTCGTATGTATGATTTGTCCCGAGCACGGATTCCCTTGGTTTGCGCGATCGTACGTCGAAATAAGAACGTCGGCAGACGAGTAAGGGGTGAAAATCGGCCGATCACACTGTGAGAGGGTGGCCGATTGCTTGCTCGAGGAGTTTCACCCAGGAGCGTGTGAAACACACGGGGAAAGTCAATATTTCAGACGGAAGTTCGATCGTCGTGCGCGGTTCCCTTTGGACCCCACGACTCGAGAAAGCTTTTTCATGCCCCAGCCCGCCCCCTTTACGCTACTTCCGGTGCGCTTCCTACCTTATTTCCTTTCACGTCTCCCTTGATCCTACACTGAATCTCTTTCACCTCCCACGGCGCTTCTTTATTTATACCTCTCCACTCGTCCCTTTTAATTTTACATTTTTCGACTACCGTTCAAGCGCTTTGCACATTTCCCTAACGTCACAGGCTTTTGCGTCTCATTTTCTGTTAAACTTTTAATACATCCATTATTCTCCTTTTTTGTTGATCGTGTCTTATTTTCCGCTGCCGCAATTCCCTACTCAACTTTCAGTGGACATTGTTCCAAGGTCTTCGTCCAGCTCGTTAGGCATCGTTAATGACGACGCTTGCGTCAAAGGGAAGGAAACACGTTGACGAAAAGAAGCACCGGATGATTACGCGTGCAGTACGTGCGACTATTTTATTCAGAATCAAATCCCTTCCAGTCCGTGACAATGCGTCTAGACGTATAATAGAGATGCAGACTATTGTACAATCAAGCTGACATCGTTTTGCATAAAAATCCGTAGCCTAATTGTATTACAAAGGAATGATTCTGCAACGAATTCCCTTGGGGAATCGTAATTCCGCTTTTTAAGCGAAATATATCGGGTTTCTACGTGACGATCGGAAGTGCTCCTCCCGTTCGATAACGACGATCGACCTGATTCCGCGCACATACTTGTGAGGCGTGCCACGAAGTGTGTGGAGGTCGAGGGTGCTTCCCGCCACCCTCTGACGTCAGTCACCCCCATAACGAAATCGAGCCATCGAGCCATGGCCGAATTCCCCTTTACTCTCCTACCCTACTTCCCTATCCCAGTTCCACTCTAATAGCACTGTACTCTTAATTAATTCTGTTTGATACTTTCAGTCATCCGTGTTAAACATTGGACAGGTCATTCGTTATATTCTTTATTTCAAACACTTTTAACATTGTTGTAGCATTTTTATCATAGAAAACCATGTGACAGATACATATAATTGTTTGTTAAACGTAACATCGTTTGCTATAATGCATCACATTTTATCGTGTAAACTCGTATAAAGTTGTATGAGTAAAAATCTGATGTGAACGTCCAGCATCGTGTTTCACGGGGGAACCACGGCAACCCTCGAGCGTGTCACAACCAGGGTGTCGGTACAGGGTGTCGCGCGGTGTTCTCGTTTCAAAACGATTAGCCCTCGATTAACCCTTGATGCGGTGGGAACCCGATGCCACCCTCTCGATCCGGGGGTGCGATATCGGTATCGTCCATCGACACAGTTTACTATCGAACGCGAGGACAAACGCGACGGAGGAACGAAGATGATGCGGGGGTTTAAAGTTTAAACGAAGCCCCTCTTAAGACGAGATCCTATTAACCATCGCGTAAATCCTATCTCACGGTGCCGTTTCTTCTTACCCCGGCGTGTAACCCTCGTGAAAACAACCCGATCCCGCGACGAGTTAATGAAACAGTTACCGTCTTTCCGAGCCCATGAGGAACGAGTGTAAATCGTTCCTCAATCGTTCATGTATTTCATGACCACAGAGATAATTCTGCTCAGCCATTGAACCAATGGTAACCAGTATGCAGCAAGTACAGAAACCGACGACGATACAAACTTGATGCAAAATGCATTTTTATAACTGATATCATAAATGTTTTATTTTGCATAAAAGCCTGTTTATGTGAAGCAAAGTGCGAGTGGATAATTTTACGATAATGAAAGAAGCTGCTTAATAAAAACAAGGGGAGAGTGAAACAATTCAGGCTGGAGGATTACGCAGGTGGCTCGTTTTTAATCAGCTCCTTTTCATCAGGGTTATTTGGTTATAAAATTTCCATGTCATAAAAAAGAATAAAGCTCGGGGAAGGAGGTTGTTCGAAGAACCTTTCACGAGCACAGTGCCACGCGATAACGAGCTTCCAAGAAGAGAACACGAAATAGGTCGCAAAACGCGGTGGCGTGCTTTTACCAAGAATCGCAGCTCCGCTGATTTTTCCTGAGGTCGTTGCACGATAGATCGATCTCTCAGATCCCCAACGGCCCCGTGCACGTTACTGATTAAACACTGCTCCTCCGTTCCTTCTCGCCGTAAAATAATTTTAAGCCAGATATGCAAAGCACGTGTGTACAACGGTGCACCACGTAACGCGGTATCGTAATTGTTGAGTGACAGAGGAATTAGGAAGCCAGCGACGCATATTTTCTTGTTGTCGCGACTATAAAAAACGCGATAGAGCTCGTTTCTATGCGTGTCGCGATGCAAATTGATCCGAGAGAATTTATCGTCGCACGGATTTCGCGGGAGCGGGGGTGGCCCGATTGATTCAGAGAGTATCGAAGAGCGGCGGTCTCGAGTATCGAATAAAAGTGGAACGGTCGCCGCGCGATCGATCGGTCGATGGTTAATAAATGATAATGAAATCGAGGCTGAAGGTTCTCTCTTTGGCCAATGCTATAAATTATGCAAGCCGACCCATCGTGTTTCGTCCCGAACAAACCGTCCACGAGCCTGACTGCCGTCTACCTGCTTTTCATCCTCGTCCGCGTCTCTCCTTGTCTTCGGCGATAAAATTGCTCCGATGCGACCGAGTGACGCGTGGAGTAATCGATGACGTCAAACGCGAGGGACAACGAGCGAAACGTAAAACTGCACGCTCGCGTAGCCCCGTCCCGACGATGTAAATTTCCCTGACCTAAATCCAACGATTTTCTCTGACCCCACTCCGAATTCGTATGTGGGTCACCGTGTGTTCCATTTAAACCGACTATTTTAATACTGATACCGACGCGACGTTCTACGATCAGGTATTCCTTCCCGGCACATTCACAGGAAAAAAATATGAGAATAGATGTTTGTGCAGATTCCTTAGAAATGAAAATGGAACTTCTCTCGGAAGATCGATCCGAAGTATGACGGTCTGAAAGAACCAGAGACTGGATTCTATCTCGCGAAGCTAAATTCACAACGAGACGACATCAGAATTGAATAATTAAAGAGAAGCTTCTGCTCTAGTTCGAGTAATTAACTAATCAAGTTTTATCCAGGAGCGGAAGGTCTGCACGTGTCGCGAATGCATCAGACGCGTAAACGGAGACGTTGGGAGCTGTCGATGCTCATTGATGAAAAATCGAGGAGGCGGTATCGAGTTACGGCAGTTTGAGAAAGTTCTCCTAACAGGGCTTTTAACGATCCATCGAGTCTCAGACGATCGCTACCCGTTCCACCGTGAAAAAGTCTTCCATCAAAGTGTCTGCTGCTCTCTGTAACCCCACCGACCCCCTTCGCCGAAGTCAACGGGGCTGTTATCGATCGGCCGTGAGGGCCTTTGTCGTATCCTGAAATCCGTTTCGGTTTAAACGAACGTGCTCGCGCAGCGTTCGACCTGAGAAGGCCGAATACACGGGACGACGAACCACCCCGGTTGCTAAATAGACGTTCCCCAAGGAATTTAAGCAATTAAACCGAATGGTGAACCGGCCGCGGTGGGACGTGAACAATGGAGATAGTTCCCGACCAGCTAGGGCAGTTTTAGCCTTATTTGCTACCTGGATTTCTTAGCTGGATAGTTTAATGAAGGATTTCATCAGTTTAACCATGCTGGAAATGCATGAGGTGTGCTATTATGCAGCTGATTGGAACGGCCAGTCACACACCAAGTATATTCAATCTGCACTTTTCTGTCTTAATTAAATAAAATAAAACAATGCGATTATAATACATGACGATGGCAAACTATGATTCAACCTGTCTGTAGTCCTTTAAGAAATTGAAGCGGGTGTCAAGATACGTACACGACGTGCGGATCAGCTTCGGTAATCGCGAAAGGCAATTATTGCGAGCGAGGTTACTTGTATTTAACGAAGCACGCTCATTTAATTCCATTTAAAGATTAGATTGACTCGAAGATTAGCCCAGCTACGATTTAAGCGAGTATTCCGTTCGTTTTTGTTCTATTTTAGATTCATCAAGTTTCACATTTAACAAAATGGTACTCATGTATATCGTACATTGAATTAGATAAAATTCCTTAGCTTCGACATCGTCGGATCTCTCGGGAGAGGGAACAGGACTTCGTGGAATTGAAAGGAGAAAAAAGATTTGAAGAATAAGAAGTGGTGACGATAGTGGGAAAAAGAAAAAGGAAGCAGGAGTTGACTGATTCGTAGCACAGTTCGGAAGAGTGAAAGGATGAGAGGATGAGTAGATGTGTGTGAGGCAACGTAGAAAATCAAAGGTGACGAAGGAACCTGAGAGAAAGAGAGAGGGGGGAGAGAGAGAGCAAGGGGGTGGTTGGGTAGGGGTGAGTTCCTGTCGCTCGATAACGCCTCTGCTTCTGCTCCGTTATCATCCTCTTCCTACCTCTCCCTCCTTCTCCCCCATTTCTTTATTTTAGATTTTGCTTGAAACCATTTCAAATAGAACAGTTTTCTCGCGGTAGATTTTCGAAAAGCAAACGCGTAGTAAGCGAGCGTCGATAATCCATTTAAGGGTCCGCGGGCACAGCCGAGAAATGGCTGCCATGTATCACGCGTGGCACCAGTAATTATGTTGCCCGCTGGAGAACGGTCTGGCTGGAACCATGATTAGTCGACGGCTGCGCGAGCAAAAATCGTACCTTCGTGCAGATTCGACCGAT